TGAGTAGCTGGGACTACAGGCATACACCACCACACTCAGCTAATTTTTTTCTTTTTCTTTTTCTTTTATTTTTAGCACATACAGAGTCTCCCTTTGTTGCTCAGGCTGGTCTTGAACTCTTGGGCTTAAGCAATCCTCCTGCCTCAGCCTCCCAAAGTGCGAGGATTATAGGCATGAGCTACTGCATCCGGCCTGAGCCTGGGTGTTAAAGAATTTTTTTTTTTTTTGAGACAGAGTCTGGCTATGTTGCCCAGGCTGGAGTACAGTGGCACGATCTCGACTCACTGCAACCTCCACCTCCTGGATTCAAGCGATTCTCCTGCCTCAGCCTTCTGAGTAGCTGGGATTACAGATGCGTGCCACCACGCCTGGCTAACTTTTGTATTTATAGTAGAGACAGGATTTCACCATGTTGGGCAGGCTGGTCTCGAACTCCTGACCTCAGGTGATCTGCCCTCGACCTCCCAAAGTGCCAGGATTACAGACGTGAGCCACTGCGCCAGGCCATGTTTAAGGGGCTGGTACAGCTGGAGCAGATGAGTGAGGGCAGAGATTGTGCAGGAAAGATGGCAGCAAAGAGGACCCACATCCTGCAGCCACACCCCAGGCGGAGGCTTCTGGGTCTTGGCAGAGGAAATAAGTGGCTTTTCTGTGTGCATTTGAGGAAGTGGGTTCTGGAGAATGACAAAATCACACTGGCACGTGAAGGGCAAACAGCTCCAGGCAGAACCAACTGGTCTGGCAGCGGGCGGCCAGGCGAGGGTCCCCAGGAATCAGCCTGGACGTCACTGCTGGACACTGGTGGCACCATGTCTGGCTTGGGGTGAAGTTTCTTCACCCACCTTGAACAGGAGTGCAGGAGAGGCACTGTTACCTGCAGGGAACATCTGATGTGCTCCTCCATCAATCGCCTGTTGGCACCAGGGGTGGTGACTGGTGCCTGTGGTCCCAGCTACTTGGGAGGATAAGGCAGGAGGATCACTTGAGCCCAGGAGCTGGAGGCTGCAGGGAGCTATATCGTCACTGCACTCCAGCCTGGGCAACAGAGCAAGTGAGATCCTATCACTTAAAAAAAAAAAAAAAAAAAAATTTAAATTAGCTGGCAAGGTGGCTCATGTCTATAATCCCAGCACTTTGGGAAGCCAAGGCAAGAGGACTGTTTGAGGCCAGGAATTCAAGACCAGCCTGGACAACATAGTGAGACCCCGTCTCTTAAAACACAGCACACACAATCAATACCTGTTGAGCCTTCCTGGCTTATAGGCCGTCGTGTGCCAATAGTTCTCACCTGGATACCAGACTGAGTCTCCCACTGCCCAGATGTTCCTTACATTCTGTTCCTTCTGGTCCTTCTTTTTCCACCCCCCTAACATCTGGGCTGTAATCAAAACATTGATGAATTTCTTCATCTTATTTTTTCTCTTTTTTTTTTTTTTTTTGAGATAGAGTCTTGTTCTATTGCCAGGCTGGAGTACAATGGCGCAATCTTGGCTCACTGCAACCTCCACCTCCCAGATTCAAGTGATTCTACTGTCTCAGCCTCCTGAGTAGCTGGGATTACAGACACCCACCACCACACCCGGATAATTTTTGTATTTTTAGTAGAGACTGGGTTTTGCTGTGTTGGTCAGGCTGATCTCGAACTCCTGAGCTCAAGTGATCCACCCACCTTGGCCACCCAAAGTGCTGAGATTACACGCGTGAGCCACTGCCCTCAACCTTTTTTTTTTTTTTTTTTTTTTTCTTTTGGAGACATAGTCTTGCTCTGTCACCCAGGCTGGAGTGCAGTGGTGTGATCTTGGCTCACTGCAACCTCCGCCTCCTGGGTTCAAGCGATTCTCCTGCCTCAGCCTCTGGAGTAGCTAGGATTACAGTCATGAGCCACCATGCCCTGCTAATTTTTGTATCTAATTTTTTGTATTTAGTAGAGACAGGGGTTTCGCCATGTTGGCCAGACTGGTCTTGAACTCCTGACCTCAGATGATCCACCCACCTTGGCCTCCCAAAGTGCTGGGATGACAGCTGTGAGCCAATGAGCCTGCCCTTCACCTTATTTTCTAAACCTGTCTACTCTCCTATACCTCAGCAGCCAGCCTCTGTCTAGACCACCAAACTCTTCCACCTAGATGTTACCCAATCTCCCCCCACCTCAGCCTCCCGAGTAGCTGGGACTACAGGTGTACACCACCACACTCAGCTAATTTTGTTTCACTTTTTTACTTTTAGCAGAGACAGGGTCTCCCTTTTGTTGCCCTACCCTGATTGAAATATTCCTAATCCCTTCGTGACCACAGGGAACTTTTTTTTTTTTTTTTTTTTTAAATGACAGTCTCTCTCTGCTGCCCAGGCTGGAGTGGTGTGATTATAGCTCACTGCAGCCTCAAACTCCTGGGATCAGGCCATCCTCCCACCTGAACCTCCTGAATAGCTGGGACTACAAGCATGCATCACCACGCTGGCTAACTTTTGTATTTTGGGTAGAGACGGGGTTTCACCATGTTACCCAGGCTGGTCTCGAACTCCTAAACTCAAGCGATCCTCCCACTTCAGCCTCCCAGAGTGCTGAGATTATAGGCCTGAGCCACCTTGCCTAGCCCACAAGGGACTTCTTAAAGGCATAAATCAATCTGATCCCTCCCCTGCTCATAGACCCTCCATGGCTCCCCATTGCTTCTCACAGGAAACAAGACATTCTTCCTGGCCTGCCCATTCTATTCTGGTGCCCCAGCAGAGTCCCATAATTCCATCATCACCTCCTTTCTCTCCCCCTGTCCCAACCACATGAGCCTCCTTGCTCTGCCACCAACACCCTAAATTTATATCCATCTCAGGGCCTTTGCACGTGCTCCACTCTGTCTGGAATGCCCTTCCCCCCAGTCTGCCCAAGGGAATCCCATCATCCTTTAGGACCTCCGTGATCCTACGTTGCTCAGGTCCCCTGTGGACCTGCCTCAGTAGCAATTAATTTGGCTGTCACTAATTGTTCATATCATTTATAATTTTTTTTTTTGAGACAATGTCTTGCTCTGTTGCCCAGGCTGGAGTGCAGTGGTGTGATCATAGCTCACTGCAGCCATGAAGTCCTGGGCTCAGGTAATCCTCCCACCTCAGCCTCCCGAGTAACTGAGACCGCAAGCGCATGCTACCACAGCCTGCTCATTTTTTGTTTTGTTTTGTTTCGAGACAGAGTCTTGCTCTGTCATCCAGGCTGGAGTGGAGTGGCGTGATCATAGCTCACTGCAGCCTCCACCTCCTGGGTTCAAGTGATTTTCCTGCCTCAGCCTCCCAAGTAGTTGGGACTATAGGCGCCCACCACACCTGGCTAATTTTTTTTTTTTTTTTTTTTTTTTTTTGTAGAGAGTGAGTTTCCTCATGTTGGCCAGGCTGGTCTCGAACTCCTGACCTCAGGAAATCCACCTGCCTTGGCTTCCTAAAGTGCTGGGATTCTGGGTGTGAGCCACTGCGCCCAGACTAATTTCTGTGTGTTTTGTACAGACAGGGTTTCACCATGTGCCTAAGGTGTTCTACTTATTATAGTGAGGGCAGGGCTGGCTTGGTCACGGCTGCCTCCCCAGCATCTAGCGTACAGTAGGTGCTCAGTTAACACTCTAGGGCTGCTGAGTCACTGTGACAGTTAACAGGATTGGACTCATGCGTATTCACAGATATTCACCTGTCTGTGCCCCACGTGGCTGAGAGTTGGCCAGGTTCTCTTTGAGGGATGTTTGGTGCCATCCATGACGCAGTCCCTTGTGATAGATTCTGGGAGGCCCTGAGGTCTGGGAAGGGAGTCTCCCAGTGACCCTGAGTTGAGGGATGTATGAGGTGGGCATACTGTACCTGTCAAAGTTCTGGGTTCTGGCCGGGCACGGTGGCTGATGCCTGTAATCCCAGCACTTTGGAAGGCTAAGGTGGGCAGATCATGAGATCAGGATATCAAGACCATCCTGGCCAACATGGTGAAACTTCATCTCTAAAAAATTAACCGGGTGTGGTGGCACGTGCCTGTGGTCCCAGCTACTCTGGAGGATGAGGCAGGAGAATCACTCGAACCAGGAGGCGGAGGTTGCAGTGAGCCGAGATTGCACCACTGCACTCCAGCCTGGACAACTCCATCTCAAAAAAAAAAAAAAAAGTCCTGGCTGGGCACGGTGGCTCACGCCTGTAATCCCAGCACTTTGGGAGACCGAGGCGGGTGGATCACGAGGTCAGGAGATCGAGACCATCCTGGCTAACACGGTGAAACCCCATCTCTACTAAAAATGCAAAAAATTAGCCAGGCATGGCAGTGGGCGCCTGTAGTCCCAGCTACTTGGGAGGCTGAGGCAGGAGAATGGCGTGAACCTCAGAGGCGGAGCTTGCAGTGAGCCAAGATTGTGCCACTGCACTCCAGCCTGGGCGACTGAGCGAGACTCCGTCTCAAAAAAAAAAAAAAGTCCTGGGTTCTGATACTGCTCCATGCTGAGCCTCAATGTCTCTGTCTGTAAGTGGGGAATAGCTGGATAGTTAAGGTAGCCAGGGTGGTGGACTGACAGTCACTGAGGTGGTCACCACACAGCTAATATGTGTCAAGCCCTTCTGCAGTCAGGGAGCAGTGGCCCCATTGTATGTGTGTGCGTGTGTACTGGAGCAGGGAATCTCAGCACCCCCATGTCCTAATAAGAAAACTAAGACTTCACATGGAAAGGCAGGGTAGGGTGGCTCATGCCTGTCATTGCAGCCCTTCGGGAGGCCGAGGCAGGTGGATCACTTGAGGCCAGGAGTTCAAGACCAGCCTGGCCAACATGGTGACACCCCATCTCTACTAAAAATACAAAAAAATTAACCAGGCACGGTGGCACACACCTGTAATCCCAGCTACCCAGGAGGCTGAGGCAGGAGGATCGCTTGAACCCATGAGGTGGAGTCTGCAGTAAGCTGAAATTAAGACACTGCACTCCAGCGTGGGCAACAGAATGAGAGAGAGATGCTGTCTCAAAAAAAAAAAAAAAAAAAAAAATTAATCCCCAGCAGGGAGGGCCAGGGCACCTGTCAGAGCCAACAGGGGTTGGAATGCCTTGAAGTGGATCTTGTAAGGGGTGGAGGAGTTAAGTGGGGGGTGAATTTCAATATTTTGCCAACCTGAGCAACTGTACAGGTACAACTAGGTGTTGGGGGTCACAGGAAAAGCACTTTGCTCAAGGTGAGTGTTCAGTGAGTTTTGTTTTCCACAGGAGCCGCCCGGGGGCTCCTCAGGCTGACCCCAGACCCTGGCTGGCCAGGATGAGGTGTCTCCGGCACCTGCGGCCCAATGCCACCCTCATTCTGGCCATCGTCGCTTTTACTCTCCTCCTCCTCTTCAGTCTGCAACTGTCACCACCCACTCGCAAGGTCCAGGAGCAGCCACCGGCGACCCCCGAGGCCCTGGCCTGGCCCACTCCACCCACCCACCCAGCCCGGGCCCCGTGCCAGGCCAACACCTCTATGGCCAACCACCCGGACTTCGCCAAGCAGCCGAAGAATGTTCAGGACTTCCTGCTGTACAAACACTGCCGCGACTTTCCCCTGCTCCAGGACGTGCCACCTTCTAAGTGCGCGCAGCCGGTTTTCCTGCTGCTGGTGATCAAGTCCTCCCCCACCAACTATGGGCGCCGCGAGCTGCTGCGGCGCACGTGGGGCCGCGAGCGCAAGGTGCGGGGTTTGCAGCTGCGCCTCCTCTTCCTGGTGGGCACAGCCTCCAGCCCACACCAGGCCCGCAAGGTCAACCGGCTGCTGCAGCTGGAGGCACAGACTCACGGAGACATCCTGCAGTGGGACTTCCACGACTCCTTCTTCAACCTCACGCTCAAGCAGGTGCGCTGGGTTGGGGTCACCTGATCAGGGCCACCTATCCTTCTTGTCCAAATTGCCACCCACTCCTGAGGGACCCAGGGAACCAGAAGCCCTCATCAGTCCATCACAGCCCATTCTGCCACTCCGCTGTCCTCACTAGCCTCGTGGTGACCCCAAATTGTCTTCTTCCCAGGGAGGCTGGGGGGAAGGGTAGAGGAGCTAGGTTACTAGCACAGAGCTCAAGCCTGATGATGCGGGTTCGAATCCAAGCTCTGCCTCTTACTTGTTGTTCGACCTTGGAGGAGTTCATTCACCTCTCTGTGCCTCAGTTTTCTCACCTGGAAAATGGGATGTGAATGAGTCCCACCCACCTCTGAGGGCTGCTGTGAGGTTTACAGGAGACGGCATTTATAAGGCACCCAGACCAGTGCTGAATGTCCAGCTTATCTTGGCAATGACAGAGACACATCTCCTTGTTTATTTTTATGTTTATTTATTTATTTTTTTAATGGAGTCTTGCTCTGTTGCCCAGGCTGGAGTGCAGTGGTATGATCTGGGCGCACTACAACCTCCGCCTCCTGGTTTAAAACAATCCTCCTGCCTCAGCCTCCCAAGTAGCTGGGATTACAGGCACTCGCCACCACGCCCAGCTAATTTTTGTATTTTTAGTAGAGACCGGGGTTCACCATGTTGGCCAGGGTAATCTCGAACTCCTGACCTCAGGCGATCTTCCCACCTCAGCCTCCCAAAGTGCTGGGATTACAGGTGTGAGCCACTGCGCCCAGCCAACATCTTCTTGTTTATTTGTTCTGGTTCTGTCTCCCAATGAGGCTGGGGGCTGTGTCTGTTTCACTCACTGCTGTGTCCCTAATGCCTAGAATAGATTCAGGTGCACAACAGGTGCTCAGTCGAGACCTTTTTGATGGACAAGAATCCATGAGCGGTAGCTGGGCGTGGTGGCTCATGCCTGTAATCCCAGCACTGTCGGAGGCTAAGGAGGGAGGATTGCTTGAGCCCAAGAGTTTCAGGCCAGCCTGAGCTACATAGCAAGACTTCGTCTTTTTTTTTTTTTTAATTTTAATTAATTAATTTTTATGTTTTTAAATTAATTAATTTTTTTTCCTGAGATGGAGTCTGGCTCTGTCACCCAGGCTGGAGTGCAGTGGTGCGATCTCGGCTCACTGCAACCTCCACCTCCCAGGTTCAAGTGATTCTCCTGCCTCAGCCTCCTGAGTAGCTGGGATTACAGGTGCATGCCACTATGTCCAGCTAATTTTTTTGTACTTTTGAGCAGAGACGAGGTTTCACCGTGTTGACCAGGCTGGTTTGAAACTCCTGACCTAAGTTCATCCACACTGCATTGGCCTCCCAAAGTGCTGGGATTACAGGCATGAGCCACCACACACAGCCTCATCTCTATTTTTTAATAAAAGAACCCAGGAGAGGTGAGAAAATCCCGCCCATCTGCAGATGAGGAAATGGAGGGACTCCAAGGACCCCTCCTAGGTCCTTGAGTAGAGCAAGACAAGTAGAGACAACATTTTCAAGGAGGAACAGGGAACTCTGCAGGATCCTGCTTGTAGGAGATACAGGCAGGCCTGGGTTCAAGGCCTCTGGTAGCCGTTTCTCTGCAGGTGACCTTACTGCAGTTTTCTCTGGAGAGCCTCTGTTCCCTCGTCTGTAAATAAGATTGAGGACCACTTCTGCCTCCTAACGGTGAATTCAGGATTCAAGGTAGGTAAGCACTAAGCACAGCACCCAGCAACAAGCAGATACCCAACCCATGTAGGTTACCATAGGGGAAACTGAGGCTGAGGTGGGTAGGGGCCACGGCCTCTCAACGTGCTGTGTTCTGAAAACACAAAAGTGGCCGGGCACAGTGGCTCACGCCTATAATCCCAGCACTTTGGGAGGCCGAGGTGGGCGGATCACTTGAGGCCAGGAGTTCGAAACCAGCTTCTTGGGAGGCTGAGGCAGGAGGATTGCTTGAACCCTGGAGGTGGAGTTTGCATAGAGCCAAGATCCTGCCACGGCACTCCAGCCTGGTTGACAGAGTGAGACTGTCTCAAAAAAACAACCTGCAAAAGTCTGTGATAAACGTCAACTTGACAAATATGAACTTAGCACCTGTGAAGCACTGGCACTATGCTGGGTGCTGAGGGAGATGGCATGAATAGAAAGAGAGAGACACAGACCCAAGTAGGGAAGCCCAGTGTTTGCTGGGAGAGGTGAGTGTTAACAATCACACAGGCAGGGCACGGTGGCTCATGCCTATAATCCCAGCACTTTGGGAGGCCAAGGCAGGTGGATCACCTGAGGTCAGGAGTTCAAGACCAGCCTGACCAACATGGTGAAACCCCATCTCTACTAAATACAAAAAATTGGCCGGGCGTGGTGGTGCATGCCTGTAATCCCAGCTGCTTGGGAGGCTGAGGCAGGAAAATTGCTTGAACCCAGAGGGTAGAGGTTGCGGTGAGCCGAGATTGTACCACTGCACTCCAGCCTGGGCAACAAGAGCGAAAACTCCATCTAAAAAAAAATAATAATAATAAATTAATTTACACAGGGGTGGTGGCTCATGCTTGTAATCTCAGCACTTTGGGAGGCTGAGGTGGGAGGATCCTTTGAGGCCTGGAGTTTAAGACCAGCCTGGGCAGCATAACAAGATCCCATCTCTAAAAAAATATAAATTTTTTAATTAGCCAGGAGTAGCGGCATGTGTCTGTAGTCCCAGCTACTTGGGAGGCTGAGGTGGGAGGATCACTTGAGCCCAGGAATTCAAGGCTGCAATGAACTATGATCGTACCACTACACTCTAGCCTGGGCAATAGAGCAAGACCCTGTCTCAGAAACAAACAAACAAAATTCACACAAATGATGATTTAACAACAGGGCTTGGCCAGGCAGAGTTGGAAGGAATAGCAATAAATGTAAATGTAACAATTTTCCAGCATTTCTTGGTGCTTCATGGAGCATGGTCTCCATGGATTCTCCAACACTCCTAGAGGCACATGATAAGGCCTGTTTAGAGAGTTGGAAACTAAGGCACAGAGAGGGTTTCCCAAGTAACCCCACAGGGCAGGGCTTCAAACCCAGGCCAGATTGTGGACACTCTCTTTCCTGGGCTCACTGGACTGGAGTGGCCAACAGAGACCCAAGGCCAATTTCTCCAGCCCTCAAGCAAGCATGCCCTGCCCACCCTGCCTGCAGGTGCTGTTCTTACAGTGGCAGGAGACGAGGTGCGCCAACGCCAGCTTCGTGCTCAACGGGGATGATGACGTCTTTGCACACACAGACAACATGGTCTCCTACCTGCAGGACCATGACCCTGGCCGCCACCTCTTCGTGGGGCAACTGATCCAAAACGTGGGCCCCATCCGGGCTTTGTGGAGCAAGTACTATGTGCCGAAGGTGGTGACTCAGAACGAGCGGTACCCACCCTACTGTGCGGGTGGTGGCTTCCTGCTGTCCCGCTTCACTGCCGCTGCCGTGCGCCGTGCCGCTCTTGTCTTGGACCTCTTCCCTATTGATGATGTCTTCCTGGGTATGTGTCTGGAGCTCGAGGGACTGAAGCCTACCTCCCACAGCGGCATCCGCACGTCTGGTGTGCGTGCCCCATCACAACACCTGTCCTCCTTTGACCCCTGCTTCTACCGAGACCTGCTGCTGGTGCACCGCTTCCTGCCTTATGAGATGCTGCTCATGTGGGATGCACTGAACCAGCCCAACCTCACCTGCAGCAAACAGACACGGATTTACTGAGTCAGCATCAGGGTCCCCAGCCTCTGGGCTCCTATTTCCATAGGAAGGGGTGACACTTTCCTCCCAGGAAGCTGAGACCTTTGTGGTCTGAGCATAGGTGAGTGCCAGGGAAGGTTTGATGAGTGAATATTCTGGCTGGTGAACTCCTATACATCCTTCAAAACCCACCTGGTACTGTTCCAGCATCCTCTCTGGATGGCTGGAGGGACTCCAGAAAATATCCGTCTTCTTTTTATGGCAGCTAATGGCAGAATTGCCTCTGCTAGGGTTCCAACTGTGGATGCATCCATCCCGTTTGAGTCAGAGTCCTACTTCCCTGCTCTGACCTACTCACAGATGGGATGCTAAGCAGTGTACCTGCAGTGGTTTAATGGTGGATAAGCTCCATCTACAGTTCCAGGCCAGCCAGAAACTCCTGTGTCCACAGAGACCTGACGTGAGAAATATCTTTCAGCCTAGGAGCGATGGGTCCTGATCTTAACCCTTTCCTGGGTCTCAGACAACTCAGAAGATTTGGGGGATACCAGACAGGTGCTGAAATAGGACCACCCCCTGCTTACTTGTGGGATCAAATGCTGTAATGGTGGAGGTGTGGGCAGAGGAGGGAGGCAAGTGTCCTTTGAAGGTTTTGGGAGCTCAGAGTTTCTGGGGTCCCCATTGGGAGCCCCCATCCCTGTGTTCCCCAAGAATTCAGAGAAAAGCACTGGGACTGGAAGGATCTTTAATGGGCCCAAGGCCAAGAGGCACATGCCCCACTACTGCCTGGAGAATGGAGAGATTCAGGTCCTCCAGCGGCCCCCCTACCCAGTATGTTTTACAGATTACAGGGGACGAGTGAGCCAGTGACCCCCTGGAGCCCCCAGCTTCAGGCCTCAGTGTCTGCCACTCAAGCTTCACAGGCATTGCGATGGAGCATCCTTGGGGAATTGTCAGGAAAAGAAAATGAGATCAGACTGTTCCTGTGTCTATATAGAAAGAAGTAGACATAAGAGACTCCATCTTGTTCTGTATTTGAGATGCTGTTAATCTGTGACCCTACCCCCAACCTTGTCCTTGCAAGAGATATGTGCTGTGGTGACTCAAGGTTTAATGGATTTGGGGCTGTACAGGGTGTGCTTTGTTAAACAAGTGCCTGAAGGCAGTATGCTTGTGAAAAGTCATCACCGTTCTGTTAATCTCAAGTACCCAGGGACACACACACTGCGGAAGGTCGCAGGGACCTCTGCCTAGGAAAGCTAGGTATTGTCCAAGGTTTCTCCCCATGTAATATTCTGAAATTGGCCTCGTGGGAAGGGAAAGACCTAATCATCCCCCAGCCTGACACCCGTGAAGGGTCTGTGCTGAGGAGGACTAGTATAAGAGGAAAGAAGGCCTCTTGGCAGTTGAGATAGAGAAAAGCATCTGTCTCCTGCCCATCCCTGGGCAATGGAACATCTCGGTGTAAAACCTGATTGTATGTTCTATTTACTGAGAAAGGAGAAAACTGCCTTAAAGGCAATGCTGCTCTTTATGCACTAAAAAGGTTTATGGAGATATTTGCATATGCATATTAAGGCACAGCATTTTTCCTTAAACTTATTCATGTCACAGAGATCTTTTTTTTTTTTTTTTTTTTTTTTTTTTTTTTTTTTTTTTTTTGAGACGGAGTCTCGCTCTGTCCCAACTGAGTGCAGTGGCCGATCTGGCTCACTGCAAGCTCCGCCTCCTGGTTCACGCCATCTCCTGCCCAGCCTCCGAGTAGCTGAACTACAGCGCCGCCACTGCGCCGGCTCATTTTTGTATTTTTAGTAGAGACGGGGTTTCACCGTGTCCTGACCTGTGATCCCCCGCCTCGCCTCCCAAAGTGCTGGATACAGGCGTGAGCCACCGCCCGCCATCCAGAGATCTTTTTCCATGTCTTTTTTTTTTTGAGATGGAGTCTGGCTCTGTCGCCCAGGCTGGAGTACAGTGGCGGGATCTCAGCTCACTGCAAGCTCCGCCTCCCGGGTTTACATCATTCTCCTGCCTCAGCCTCCTGAGTAGCTGGGACTACAGGCGCCCGCCACCTTGCCTGGCTAGTTTTTTGTATTTTTTAGTAGAGACGGGGTTTCACCAGGTTAGCCAGGATGGTCTCGATCTCCTGACCTCGTGATCCGCCCGTCTCGGCCTCCCAAAGTGCTGGGTGAGCCACCGCGCCCGGCCATTCACGTGTCTTACTGCTGACCTTCTCCCTACAATGATCCTATTATCCTGCCACTTCCCTTTTTCTAAGATGGTAAAGATAATGATCAATAAATACTGAGGGAACTCAGAGACCGGTGCCGGCGTGGGTCCCCTGGGCCCACTTTTTCTTTCTCTATACTTTGTCTCTGTATCTCATTTCTTTTCTCAAGTCTCTCGTTCCACCTAATGAGAAACACCCACAGGTGTGGAGGGGTAGGCCACCCCTTCAGGGAATAAAAAGTTTTGTGAAGACTTGGAGATTTTTTTTTTTTTAAGCAAATTTATAAGTTTCAACAGACAAGTCCACATGCATCCCTAAAAATCTCGTTTTCCAGTAGAAAATATACACTGGTAAAAACAGGGCATGGGGCCGTGGTTCAGGGCTGTAATTCTAGCACATTGGGAGACCAAAGTGGGAGGATCACTTCAGCCCAGGAGTTCCGGATCCTGTCTCTGCACAAAATAAAAAATTACTCGGGCGTGGTGGTGCTCACATGCCTGTAGTCCCAGCTATACTTGGGAGGCTGAGGTGAGAGGATCGCTTGAGCCCAGGAGTTGGAGGCTGCAGTGAGCCATGATTGCGCCCCTGTATTCCAACCTGGACAGCAACACGAAAACAAAAACATAAAATGGGATGTGGGTGAGGCAAAAGCTGCAGGAATTTCTGTCAGGCAGATCTGACCTCATCCCACCCACCCCCTGCTCAGATACCCTTCATAGCTCCCTATTGCTTTCAGCTCATATCCCCAAAGACAGATTCTATTTTTCTTTTTTTTTTTTAAACGGATTCTTGTTCTGTTGCCCAGGCTGGAGTGTAGTGGCATGATCTCAGGTCATTGCAACCTCCACCTCCCTGATTCAAGCAGTTCTCCTGCCTCAGCCTCCCAAGTAGCTGAGATTACAGGTTACAGGCATATGCCACCATGCCCAGCTAATTTTTGTATTTTTGATAGAGACAGGGTTTCACCATGTTGCCCAGGCTGGTCTCAAACTCCTGACCTCAAGTGATCCACCTGCCTTGGCCTCCCAAAGGTGCTGGGATTATGGGCGTGAGCCACAGTGCCTGGCCAGCCAAAGATAGATTCTTGCTTCCAGCTTGTCAGCAGACTCAGGAGTGGGAGGGACAGGGAGAGCTGTTCTTAGCTGGATTGGACACTGGGCCCACCTTGGCCTCCCGCTTCCAGCAAGGCCCCCTCTGAATCCCATTCCAGCCACCAGCAGTCTCCCTCTCCTTACTAGGCTTGCTTTCCCTGGTTGGAACCTCGGATCTACTGCCCTCTCTAGCTCATCCTTTCCTCCCCTCAAGTATTGATTGTGCACCTACTGTGTGCTACATGCCTTGCCCTGTACTCCTCCTCCCTCCTGTGGGAAGGGTCAGCGGACACAGACCCACCTTATAGCGAGGAAACAAACCTGAAAATGATCAAATGGGAAGTTCTTGGGAGCAATAAAAGCTTTGAGCAGAATATTTTTTTATTTTACTTTTATTTTATTTATTTTTGAGACTGAATCTCGCTCTGTTGCCCAGGCTGGAGTGTAGCGGTGCAATCTCAGCTCACTGCAACCTCCGCCTCCTGAGTTCAAGCGATTCTCATGCCTCAGCCTCCCAAGTTGCTGGGATTACAAGCATGCACCACCACGCCTGGCTAATTTTTGTATTTGTAGTACAGACAGGGTTTCACCATGTTGTCCAAGCTGGTCTCGAACCCCTGGCCTCAAGGGATCCACCTGCCTCGGCATCCCAAAGTGTTGGGATTACAGGCATGAGCCACTACACCAGCCTGAGCAGAATTTAAATGGGGTGATAGGGCCAAACACAGTGACTCATGCCTATAATTCCAGGGCATTGGGAGGCCGAGATGGGAGGATCACCTGAGCCCAGGAGTTTGAGACCAGCCTGGGCAACATAGCAAGACCCTGTCTCTACAGAAAAAAATTAACCCAGTGGTATGGTAGTGCCCACCCATGGTCCCAGCTACTCGGAAAGCTGAGGCAGGAGGATCACTTGAGCCCGGGAGATTGAGGTTGCAGTGAGCCAGGACTATGCCACTGCACTCCAGCCTGGGTGGGAGGGAGACCTTGTTTCAAAAATAAAATGAGGCTGGGCATGGTGGCTCACGCCTGTAATACCAGCAGTTTGGGAGGCTGAGGTGGGCGGGTCATCTGAAGTCAGGAGTTTAAAACCAGCCTAGACAACATAGCGAAACCCCATCTCGACGAAAAATACAAAAATTAGCAGAGTGTGGTGGCTCATGCCTGTGATCCCAGCTACTTGAGAGGCTGAGGCAGGTGAATCGCTTGAACCTAGGAGACGGAGTTTGCAGCGAGCTGAGATTGAGCCACTGCACTCCAGCCTGGGCAACAGAGTGAGACTCGATCTCAGAAAAATAAATAAGTAGGCCGGCCATGGTGGTTCACACCTGTAATCCCAGCACTTTAGGGGGCCAAGGTGGGTAGATCACGAGGTCAAGAGATAGACACCATTCTGGCCAACATGGTGAAACCTGGTCTCTACTAAAAGTGGGAAAAATAGCCGGGCGTGGTGGTGTGTGCTTGTAGTCCCAGCTACTCAGGAGGCTGAAGGCAAAAGAATCACTTGAACCTGGGAGGCGGAGGTTGCAGTGAGCCAAGATCGTGCCACTGCACTCCAGCCTGGGTGACAGAGCAAGGCTCAGTCTCAAAAAAAAAAAAAAAGGCCAGGCGCAGTGGCTCACGCCTGTAATCCCAGCACTTTGGGAGGCCGAGATGGGCGGATCACGAGGTCGGGAGATCGAGACCACCCTGGCTAACACGGTGAAACCCCGTCTTTACTACACAATACAAAATTCTAGTCGGGCCAGGTGGCGGGTGTCTGTAGTCCCAGCTATTCGGGAGGCTGAGGCAGGAGAATGGCGTGAACCCAGGAGGCGGAGCTTGTAGTGAGCTGAGATCCGGCCACTGCACTCCAGCCTGGGCGACAGAGCGACACTCTGTCTCAAAAAACACAAACAAACAAACAAAAATTAGCCGGGCGCGGTGGTGGGCACCTGTAGTGCCAGCTACTCGGGAGGCTGAGGCAGGAGAATGGCGTGAACCCAGGAGGCGGTGCTTGCAGTGAGTGGAGATCACACCGCTGCACTCCAGTCTGGGCGACAGAGCGAGACTCTGTCTCAAAAAAAAAAAAAAAAAATACAAAAATTAGCCGGGCGCAGTGGCGGGCACCTGTAGTCCTGGCTACTCGGGAGGCTGAGGCAGGAGAATGGCGTGAACCCGGGAGGCGGTGCTTGCAGTGAGTGGAGATCGCACCACTGCACTCCAGTCTGGGCGACAGAGGGAGACTCCGTCTCAAAAAAGAAAAATAGATGGTTAAAAATGGCTGCTGTGGGGACTGGAGGGAATTGGGAGGCTGAGACATCATCCAAGCAGGACAATCAGGCCTGGATGAGATGGGGCTGCAGGTCTTTCTAACAGGCACATCTGACCTCATTCTGCCCTCATTCTGCCCCCTGCTCACACACCCTCTGTGGCTCCCTATTGCCCTCAGGGGACAGTCCCTGGAAATAGAGTCTTTGTAGACAGAGAGGAGGTTATCATGGATTAGGGTGGACCCTGAATCCAATGACTGGGCCAGGTGCAGTGGCTCACGCCTGTAATCTCAACGCTTTGGGAGGCCGAGGTGGGCAGATCACCTGAGTTCAGGAGTTCAAGACCAGCCTGGCCAACATGGTGAAACCCCGTCTCTACTA